GCAAATGAATCAGTTTGGAAGAGGTAAAAGGATGACAGGATAGGAGTAGGAAAGACAAGGAGGCAAGTAGGGCTACATTAGCTTTTTCTCTGGTTCTAAACTCGGACTCAGTAGTAATTTATACTAATTCTCTCTGTGCTGAGGAAGACCCTATTCTGACACCTTTAAATAGATTTGTAACTAATACATTCTATTATCAATGCTTGTTTAGATAATTATGTCATCTCTACTTTGTTTCATGAGAAAATTTCATGGCTCTACAATGAATAAACTTCCCCTTCCTGACACTAGTTGGTCAAAGGTTGAGTGGAGTCATTCCTGATTAAGTAATTGGACTTTTACTGAGTAAACAGTTCAATGTACTCATTATGGCTACTATTTTACTTTTTTTTTCCAAATTAGTAATAGAGGGTATGACACTATAAATATGACAATCTTTAGATGTTTCAGAACTTCCCATAGAGCCAAACACTAGAAAAAATATTTGTTTTCACTTTCCAGAACTTCTAGGTCTGCAAAAGTCTTTGGGAGTGTCATGAGGATAACGTTCATGACATACCCAATGTATCCTAGATCCAGCTTCTAGAGCAACTGGGCACCAACACAGAATTTCTTCCAGGGGAAACACACAAAATGGATGTGTTTATATTTATTTTTCTATGTAAATCAATATTTTTCTCTTGGTAGTTCTCAAAACTTGGAAAAAATATTCTATTACAATGTTCTATATTATTGCTCACAGTACTCCTAATCTAAAATGGGATGTTTTGGAAAATTTTGGGAAAGTTAGGCTGTGCACATTTTAGACTTAAAGGGAGTCGGAAGGACACTGTGGGTCTATAACTTCTTTCCCAAACTTAAAGGAAGTGTTGTGGCTTACAAAAGGTATAAACACCAATCCACATAAATTAACAAGGCCAAATCCTTCCTATAAAGAGCTCTAAGACAGAGCATGTATGTGTGCATGCATAATTATATGTTGTATTTGAACTTGTGATCCTAACAAGTACAAAAAACAGAGGCAAAAACAGAGGCAAAAAAAAAAGAGTTCTTTTGAAAAAGCCTCTTTCGAAAGAGATCATCTAGATAGCCCCAAGTGTTTCGAAAAAGCGAGCCTCTTTTTCGAAAGAGCACCCACACAGTCTGGATGCTCTCTTTTGAAAAAGCAGATTGCTTTTCAATCCTGTTTTGAGGTATGGATGCTCTCTTTTGAAAGACGTACCTATCCAGAGTTATTTACCACTGTCAAAAAAACGCTGCAGTCTTTCAATTTAATTTTGAAAGAAGGCTACAGCAGTCTAGATGCAGGTGAATTTTTTTTTTTTAAAGGCCACTTTTTTTTGAAAAAGCTCTGTAGTCTAGAAATACCCTGTATAGTTGACTGTATAGTTGTAAATGTCTTCCTTCAAAGACTTGCAAAAGCGACGAAGAGTCCTGTGGCACCTTATAGACTAACTGAAGTGTAGGAGCATAAGCTTTCATGGGCAAAGACCCACTTCGTCAGATGCATGTAGTGGAAATTTCCAGAGGCAGGAATAAATATGCAGGCCAGGACACTTCAGTTAGTCTATAAGGTGCCACAGGACTCTTCGTCGCTTTTGCAGATTCAGACTAACACGGCTACCCCTCTGATACTTCAAAGACTTTGTTTCACTATCAGATTTAATTCTGTGTAATTATCTATAGGCCTAGTGTATGTCCTCAAAAGACTGAACTATGACCTTGTAGCATAGCAGAAAATTAAGCTAAGCTACAGAAAGGGGAAAGAAAAACATTACTGCTGATGTCAGCATGTTGCCTTGCTCGTGCCTGTTGAACACAAGGAATAAGCTAAGAAATAGGTGCTCATCTCCAATATATATTGAGGTGTATACATGAAAGCAGCCAACTTACTCATCAAGATAATTAATCAAAAGCAATTTGATGTAGACTGACGTTTTCAAGGACAGTATTCAAAATGAATATTTTATTACAGAACTGGAGCTTATGATTCAAATTTTGACCCTTACTTTTGATGTATTCAACAATAATAAAAAAATGTCATCTTCACTTTATCATTTCTCCCTGATACCTATACCATGTAGCTTTAGGACAGGTCATATTTCTTACTTTTGTTTGTGTTCTAATACATGGTAGATAATATTTTAAGACATACTTTTTGCCCTTTGTTTTCATTTCTAACACCTACAGTACTTCAATATCTTAATATACTACTACTCTAAGCTCTGTTCACTACTGTATTACTAATTGTGCTGCTTTTTGGCAAATACTGATGGGTTAATTCTGGTAAGATTTTAGTTATTTAACATAGGTTAGTGATCTTTTTCACAATATGCATCTTCTAATTTTGACTAGGTAACAATTGTTAGCAATATTTGAAACCCTTTAATGGAGCTTTTGTGAATATTCATGAAACAACTATGGTTTGTACAAGCGGGAAAACAGATTTCAGCCCAGAGTGAAGACTAAATTAAATTTATTATAGAGGTTAGACCACCCAGTTATGAGACAGAAAAAGATACCATGTGGCTCAGATCATCGAGCACAAAGCTCAAACAACATAGTGAGGATACTTGCTAATCAAACAATTGATCACAACAGTCTGTGAACAATCCATAGGCTGATGTACTTCTGAAGGAAAAAAAATTAATGAACAATTTCTAATAAGAGCAAGTTAATAAAAATCACAATCTGTTTATAACAAATATCCAAAAGGTTATAAAATCTTGTTTATGTTAATTACCATTAGTTTTAGCTGGAATAATATTTATCAGGACTGTTACTGCCTAGGTAATGCTCATTTTCCATTGGAAGTCAGTCTAACCAAAAAAACTTCATCTCCAGTAATACATCAATATCCCCCCACCAGTTGTCTCGATGGCTTTACTTTCCTGTATTTTTCCAAGTTACTCTCATTTTAGAATTATATGCCTTATTCTTTCCTTCCATTGTGACTTACTAAACATTGATGACCTTGTCTACCTATACATACAATACCTATTCATTCCTGTTATTTCAGTCATCATTCAGCCTCATCAACTGCTCTAAATGGAGTTAGAAAGAACAGCAGAGGAAAATATCATACAAATAGCTTTAATAATGGGATGCAATGATTCACAATGTCCTGCAGATACTATAAAGATAACAATGTGTTCTCTATGAATATATAAATAGGCATTTAGAAGAGGCTGTAGTCTTAGTACTACTTAGTACTATTCTGCTGTAAAACTTTGACTACTCTCAGGCATGTAAGAAATGGGGAAAGGGAACAAGAGAGTGCAAAAACCAGCTAAGTGTGCTTGTCTTTACTTTACAGTGGCAAGGACCAGGAAGAGAGGAATGGCCTGAATGGTGAACATCAAAGCAATCTATTTTAAGGTGTTAGGTTTTTAAGATAGAAAAAAAGGTTATTTCCATAATCAGAGAAGATTGACTAATCTCAATGGATTTTAGGATTATGAACATCAATACAGAAAAGACACAGGAAAAGAATATGTGTATGTATGTGGGGAGTGTTACTTGCTTTTTATTTTCCTATCTTTTTATGGCTTAGCTAAAAGAAAGTGAGATTTGTTAATACCTTAATTCAGTCCCAGATCCTCAAAACGTACCTAAATCTTAAAGATTTCAACACTATGGCTGGAGTCTGTAAATCAATAGTAATATCCATTATTATTAGGCAGAACTAAGCAGCATAAATAAATAGATACACGCAAGGAGTTAGTCAGGAAGAAGATAATTTAATACATAAGTCATGTTTCCACTGAACATCAGCTGCCTAAAGTTTAGTTCACTCAATAAAATAAACTCAGTCATCCATGTGCCTTTTCTTTTTCTTTTTTTTTCCATTTTCAATTATCTTTCCCTGGGCTTTGTCTAAGTTAACAAGAAGAACATCTTAAAAATAATCACTTTGTATGGCTTAAAGAAGAATTCAGGCATAAACAAAGAAGAATCATTGGGATAATACCTCTGTTTAAGTTGATGACAGGGATGGTTGTTCGGCATGTGCAGATCTTGCAAGAAATGATAAGCCATAATAGACAGTGTGAAATGACTACGATTTTTTTTCATTTTTCATACACATTGCTTTTACGTAGGAGTTTTTTGGACACCTATTCATAAAAAGTGAAATCTGGATAAATATAAATGCTGGCATATTTTTGTCCTATCAGAAGTGATAAATCAATCTATGGAAAAATAAACAATGGCAGCAACTTGCCATGAAACTTTTCCAGTTAATTGGATACATTTTTGTAGCACTTGCAGAGTTTCATTTTCTAATGGGGACATAAAATCTCTCTCCATTGACCTGACTACAAAGGAGTTACACCAGTGATAAATTTGGCCTGTGTAGTTCATAATCGTCTTGGTAGTGGACATGCTAAGTTGGCAAGTGCAGAGTACACTATTTTGATAGTCCACAAATTCAAGGGAGTGAACAGTGGGCTCTCTGAAGGATTTTTAAACTCTGTAGTTTGAGAAAAAATTAGAACTGCACTGAATCCTTATTGAACCCAAACAGTTGAGGTAAAGCTTTTTTAGATTGCTTGTAGTTGTTTTTCCCCAGTCCCCAATAAACGGGGGGAAACAGACACTCCATAATTCCTAGCAAAGTATTCTTTTCCTGTATTGCATAACTATTTTACTGTATAAGCGGTGAGGAGTCCTGTGGCACCTTATAGACTAACTGAAGTGCTGGAGCATAAGCTTTCGTGAGCAAAGACCCACTTCATCAGATGCATATCACAGGACTCCTTGCCACTTTTGCAGATTCAGACTAACACGGCTACCCCTCTGATATTTTACTGTATGGAACCACTCTTTCTTTATGCTTGTATGTTGAGAAGTCACTGGAACTGGAAGGATTTCTCTATTCCTACTTCACCACATAGGCCACTATCCAAATGCTGGAGAAGAAAATGATCACCTGAAGATGGAAGAATGGTCAATGGGTAAAAAAAAAAAAAAGTGATTGAGGGAAGATGTTAGGTACCCACCTCGCTATAAAAAGCCAGGTTTGGCTGGAGTCTGGGAGGTGACACAATGTCAGTCTTGGAGACTGCAGTTTAGAATGACTTGAACTTCAAAGTAAACATACAAAGACTGGCTCACTGCCAAATTTTGCTAACACACTTGCAATGTTTTATCATTCAGCTCACCAGAAACTGTGATCTGTGAAAGAAAAAATGAAGGTGTGGTTCTTGAAGATGCATTGCAAAGCTTCACGAAAACTGCAAAAACATACAATTACATCTGGCATTGTTTCTGAAGTTGGAGGTCCCCATCAGGAATTAGAACTCCATTTTAGTAGGTGCTTTACACAGTTGTAAAAAAAAGACATTCCTTTATTCCCCCCAAATTTGTAATCCTAACGTGACAAAAAAACAAAAAACAGGTACTTAAATGAGAACAGCAGGAGTGGACAGAGAGAGAGAGAGAGAGAGAGAGAGAAAGAGGTTTGACAAAGTACTAGTAACACAACTGTTTGCTACAGAAAGTAATATCAGAACACTAGGCCTATGTCTACACTATGCATTTTGACAGGAGAGGCAATGCAAATGAAGCACTGATTAGCATTTTCTCGCACTTCATTTGCATAATCTCTTCCAATCCGTTTTTATGCAACACCGTTCCCTTTTTGCACAAGATCCTTATCCCACACCGGTTGGTTTTGTGCAAAAAAGGATCGGGGATCTAGCTATTACTTAATGCAGGGGAGAGTCAGAAGAATTTTTAATTGTGTAATAAGTCAAAAATAAAATTACATTCTGTTCCTTTTTCAAGTTTAAAAATATTTCAGTGAAAGGTACATGTAAGACATACATTTTTTCAGGTATTAAAAGGGGGTTTAGCTATATAATTTTACGTCAGTATAAATCAGCTGTCTAAAATACTTGCATAACACATTGAAAACTCACCTCATAGGTCTCACAATAAATTAGGTGCAAGCATTTTCAGCACCACACTAGAGCGAAACATAGACTCTCTTGCCCCTTCCTCAGCTTCTTTATTGTAGCATGGCTATTCTCTGAATCCCATTTGTGGCCCTTCTTCTCTATGCCATCAGCAATCTGCTCATATTGCTGAATCGAAGCTGCAAATACAGTCTCCTTTCCTCACAGATCCAAATGATCCAGCAACTCAGGTTCCCATTTGGAGTACACTGATTTGCTGTGGAGAGTCAGATGGGAAAAGATGATGTTTGCTCAGCATGGATGCTTCACAAGCAGTGGAATTTCAAAAATTCCTGGGGCTTTCATAGGGGAAGCACACATGCCTGTGTATCTGGCTGCAGAGTAGCAGAATAAAAATAGCTTACCAGCACAGAACTAATGGGCATTGTGGGACACCTCCTGGAGCCACTTAGGGCAAAATATGTAAATGTAGTGTCTACACAGACGTTACACTGCTCTAAATTTTGTCACAAAAACTTTATGCAGCTCATCAAGGTGGTTTTCTGTCAGCATAGCAGGAGAATTAAATTAATGGGAGGAATGTTGTATGTATGTCTCCACTGTTTTGTTGAAAAAAATTTGTACTGAAGAATAGCACTGGGCAGCTAAAAAGGCTATATGCGATCCACCAAGAGAAGTTGGCCAATAAAAATAAATTACCTCCTACTTTGTCTCTGCTTTTACAGTAGTTCTTTTAGCCTATCTGATTCTTAGTCTTTAAACTAAAATGGTCATCAAAGAAGGTATTGACTTTTTCCTCTTAACAGTACCTGGAGACGAATTTATTCGTCTGTCTCAGTTTGGTAAGGAAGGTTACTTTTTTGTAAATGGTATTTTGGCTGTCTAAAGCTGTAGAGATGCCTAGGATCCCCTAGATGCCCATCTGCACCTTTAGGTGGGTTTATTACAGTTTAAAAATCTAGCCTGAAGTTTCTTAAGCATTTCCAGATTACTACTTAGTTTCTCAATACTGTATGGCTGTGTCTACACTGGGCCACTTATTCTGGAAAAGCAGCCACTTTTCCGGAATAAGCTGTGAGCTGTCTACACTGGCCGCTTGCTTTTCCAGAAAAGCAATGATGATCTAATGTAAAATCGTCATTGTTTTTCCGGAAAAAACTATGCTGCTCCCGTTTGGGCAAAAGTCCTTTTCCGGAAAAACTGTTCCGGAAAAGGGCCAGTGTAGACAGCACAGTAGTCTTTTCCGCAAAAAAGCCCCAATCGCGAAAATGACGATCAGGGCTTTTTGCGGAAAAGCGTGTCTACATTGGCACGGACGTTTTTCTGGAAAAAGTGCTTTTCCAGAAAAGCATCCTGCCTATGTAGTCCCGCTTTTCTGGAAATACTTATAACGGAAAAACTGTTCCGTTTTAAGCATTTCCAGAAAAGGGTGCCAGTGTAGATGTAGCATATATGTTTATATTCAAGTGCTTTAAAACATGAGCCCATAGCAGTACGTAAGAAACTTCACTAGTTTCATATCAGAAAGCTATTATGTCAACTTTCCTTCAGCTAAGAAAACTTTAAAAATGAACACGGCAAAAAAAGACCTCATGGTTAAAATCTTATGTAAAATATTTTCACCTTCAAATGGAAACATGAGGTTACAAGGAACTAAAGTATTTCCCAACTGTAGAACTTTTCCTTAAGTGGAAAAAAAGAAGAAGAATGTAAAGTATTTATAAATCAGTTTTAAGAAGAATATTTTTAGAAATCCCCAAGAGAAAGAGAAGAAAAGGTATACTAAAGGAGCTCTTAACTTGGCTTTTGTGGCTGTGAAATACCATCTGCTACAAATCACCTCTTCTTCAAATACCCTTGAAAAAGACTAGATTCATATCCATTAACAAGGAGGAAATGACTTTGCTCTTTGGGAAGACAGTTCTGTAGGCTGCTTGCCTTTTGACTACCTTTTTCCCAAAATCACAATCTGCAGTAGTTTCACCCTCCATTCAGAATGGAAGCCTCTTACCACTACCATGCATGGCAAAGAATCACAATAATACTTGGATTTTTCTAACAGAACATGGATATTTAAAGTAAAATAGATGTTAGCAAGCTGTATGCTGGAGTCAGTACAATCAGACTTGCAAGTTCATTGGTTTGAGTATATGGCCAAGGAGGTATTGTCTTTGACACTTTTTTTGCCTGACACTGAAGAAAAGCAGAGCTTTATTTAGTTAATCTGATGATTTTGTTTTGTAAAGTAACCAGGCAAAACTGGAGTGTAATCCACATTTTCTTCCAAGCATCTTGGCTGTGTCTAGACTGGCAAGTTTTTCCGGAAAATCAGCCGCTTTTCTGGAAAAACTTGCCAGCTGTCTACACTGGCCGCTTGAATTTCCGGAAAAGCACCGACGATCTCATGTAAGATCGTCAGTGCTCTTCCGGAAATACTATGCTGCTCCTGTTCGAGCAAAAGTCTTTTTCCAAAAGACTTTTGCACAAAAGGGCCAGTGTAGACAGCACAATACTGTTTTCCGCAAAAAAGCCCCAATCGCTAAAATGGCGATCGGGGCTTTTTTGCGAAAAAGCACATCTAGATTGGCCATGGATGCTTTTCCGCAAAAAGTGCTTTTCTGGAAAAGCATCCTGCCAATCTAGACACGCTTTTCCGAAAATGCTTTTAACGGAAAACTTTTCCGTTAAAAGCATTTCCGGAAAATCATGCCAGTCTAGACGTAGACCTTATGTCTGACATAATTGTAACTATGTTCTCAAACTCAGTAATGATAAAGACACTTGTATAATCTACAACTATTGTAAAATTTGTATTTATTATTAATATATCTTCTGCCCAACAATAGCAAAGTGAGGACTCCACACCCATCTTGGAAACACAACTGTTTTAGTGAAAGTGTCTGTCTCTCTCTCTCTCCTTTCTATCCCCCAAAACCCTTGTCACATTATATAACAGCTCAGAATAAGAAGAAGAAATGCTGACTCTAAAATTTAGGGGAGAATTAGGTAATTACCAGAAGCAGAGGTTTGTCAGATGAGCAGGATTTCGATGACTCAACATCAAACATTTCGACCATAAGTAGTCTCTTGAATTTATTTGGATTTTATTTCTTCCCTAACTTATCCCCTTTTCTATTATTTTTCCATAAGTATTCATACATGTTTCGCCAGTATAACGGCTTGTGGAAATCAAATGATAAGCTTGCACACAAGTGAAAGTCTTGTGGTTTATATCAGATGGGATTCTGTGTGACCAATCAGAGTGAGCTCCTAAGACTGGTCCCAGAAGCAATTAGAAAAGCTGTTCAAGGATCTTTATTCAGCCTTCTCTAATTCCAGACACATTTTATACCAGTGGTTAGCAATCTACGGCCCATGGTCCACATGTGACCCATTGGGATTCTATGCGTGGTCTACAGATCCTTGGTTACCATTGCCCAAGGACGGGGTTACCAAATGCCGCTTGGGTCCATCCACCTATTTTTTCCTACTGGTATTATTAAAGTGACACACATGTAAAACAAGGATATGTGAAATGAAGTGCATGCTCATTGCTCATAACATTGACTATGAAAACCAGACACTCCAAAGTTCTTTTATTGTCATGCCCTACAAATTCTAGTTAAGTGCAGTTAGCAAAATTACCCTGTCCTGAGATACCATTTTGGTTCCATCAATCTTGCAGTCCACTGAGATGAAGAAGGGCTACTCCTGCAGCTCATTCACTAGCCTTGGTTACCCATCACTGTTTTGTACTTTTTGTCAGTAATTGAAGAAGTGAATGTAGTTCAAATCATTATGCACAATGTACTTGGCATTTTCTATAGAATACAACACTGCACAATGATGTAGGAGGACAGAAGTCACACATCTGATAGCTGGAATCAGGGTAACATAACAAATTAGACACCAACTTCATGTATGAAGCTCCAAATTAGAGAGCTGAGAATAAGATTTTTCAGTTCATTAGCAAGTTAAAAATAAATTCTGATCAAATGAAAAATTTAATAAGGGGGAATTTTGGTAAATTAAAAAAATACTTGTGGTTTAAAAACAACTCAGTTTAGTCCGATTTTGAACATTTATAAATATTTAATTTTTTTTAAAAAAAAGGAAATTTTAAAACTAATAATTGCTTCAAAATGAAATCAAAATTTTAATTTGAAGAAATGTCAGATTGCAACACTTTAAGTGAAAAAATTCAGCAAATCCAACATGAAGTTGATAGAAATACAGGACTAGAAAGGATGTCAAGAAGTCGTTTAAGATAGTCCTCTTCACTCAGGTTAGACAATATAATAACTGTTGTTTTAATAAGTAAACAATTAAAAGGTGTTTGACTAGCTATTTCTTAAATTTTTCCAAACATAGAAATTCTACAAATTCCCTAGACATTTTGTTACAGTGCTTAACCTCCATTACAGAAAGTTTTTTCTTTCCTAATTTCCAATCTAAACCCTTCTTGCTTCAATTTAAGCCCATTCCTTCATGTCCTATCCTCTTACATATTAAGGATTTTTTCCCCTTCATCTTCTAACAACAGTTTATGTACTTGAAAATTCGTGTCATGTTCCCCTTCAGTTTTTTGTTCTCTAGGCCAAACAAACCCATATTTTTCAGTCTTTCCTCAGGGATAGATTTCTAGACTTTTAGTCATTTTTATTGCTTTTTTCAGACCTTTCTCCAGTTTGTCCATATCTTTCCTAAAATGTGGCACCCAGAATTGAACATAAAATTCTAGCTGAGACTTTACCAGCACAGAGTAGAACAGAATTATGTCTACTTTCTTGCTTACTACACTCCTACCAATACATTCCAGAAATGTGTTTGCCTTTTTTTTTGCAACAGTGTAATACTCATAATACTCTTGACTCATATTTATTTTGTAAGCCAATATAACCCCCAAATCTCATTGTACAGTAATCCTTTCCCTGTGTGTAGTCATTTCCTATTGTGTATGTGTCCAATGATTTGTTCCTTCCCAAGTCAAGTACTTTGTATTTGTTCTGATCGAATTTCATCCTGTATACATCATACCATTTGCCAAGATCATTCTGAATTTTAATCTTATCCTCTGGAGCACATATACGTGTACTATATGCTATTATCTGAATCATGTAACATTTCAGTGTCACCAAATCTCTGCATTTTTCCATTTTTGCCATGCATTTATTTGCATTTGGGCAAATAAAACTTAGCCAGTAGTATTCAGAATTATTTTGTG